CCGGGGACCGCCAACCTTAGGAAAAAAAAAAAGTGCGGGCCCAAGGTCTTATAGACTGGAAAAAAAGCATTCCGAGACCCACAAATTGTCTCACAGAGCCACGGTGAAGCTTCGTACCTTGACTGCTAGTGCCAATTGAAGAAGTCTAGAGTCTAGGAGTCTAGGCTCTGCTTGGCATCTTGCGAGTCTTACTTTTTGCTTTTCCTTACGACCTAGCCGCTAGTACCCGCTAGTACCCGCTAGTACCAAAAGTGTTGCTTTCGCTTGCCGGCTGGATACTGCTCTGGCGGGATGCCAGCGATGGTAGTGGTCGAAGGCAGCGGCAGAATCCCGATCAAGCTCAGTAGCAAGAGGGCAGTGGCGACCAACGTCTGCAGGAAAAACGCAAGCTCCCAGCCTGTTTGGTACCTGAGCGGTAAAAATCCGAAGCTACGAATGCATTCCGCCATAGAGAACCCAAGCATTTTGCTGGAGAGACGCATCAGACACAAGATCTTCCACCTTCCCGGCGTCCTCCTTGGCAAGCTCTCGCTTAAGGCTTCAAGATTCAGCTCGAGTCCTCAAATCTTCCCCCACAAACGTTCCGAAAGACCCTGCTCAAGCAAAGCGCAAACTGCAAATCGCCCCGTCTGCCAGAAAAGCCACGCGCACGCACGCATGCACACACACACACACACAAATCCGCATAAGCTTCCAGGTGTGGGAAACGAAGACATCGAACTTCGGAACGGGATGGGTCTCCACGCGGCACGGATAGCGCGTCTCCGGCGAAACCAACCTTGCTGGGTTAGGCTGAAGAGAAAGGCACTCAGGCAGGCTTTAAGCTTCAGGGAGCCATAGCCAGGCAGCCAGAGGATCCCGAACATGCGAAGAGACTGACGCAGGGAAAGCCCGCGCATGAGATTGGCATCTACCTGTCAAAGCATAGTTTCCCGCAGCTGAGGTGAGGTTGACCAGGGCCGCCTAACACAAGAACATCACCTCCGGAAAGAAGGCTTAAGGCTTAAGGTCCAAAGCTCAAGCAGCAACAACAACGCAAAGGAACAAAATCTAAGAGCAACAGCCGAATAAAGAACGACGACACAAAAACACTGTCACGTTGAACCCTGCAGATACCGCGCGGCGAGCAAGCACCTCCACTTGGATTGGAATGCGACCCATCCGTGTCGCTACGAAGTTGACCACAAACCGTGGGGCATGGTCCGATACCACCGGCGACCACGATTATGTGATTGATCACATGCAGCACCCGCCCCGCACTGTCACCCCACGGGCAAGCCCCAAGCTGGACAGGACAAAGCAAGCTACCAAGCAAGCAACTTGTCTTATGTGCGCCCGTGAAGATCCCGTGAAGTCCTACCCGTCCTACCCAGCAAACCGGCAAAAGGAGAGCACCTTGCAATCGCCCAGCGTGCAAAAACCCCTCCAGCTCTCGAATCATGCACCTTTGGTCCATTGCTCGATTCCGCATTCACAGTTGATCCCAACTAGTCCTAGTTGGGTGGCTCGCCTCCAGCTCCTCAGCGGGCACTGCGCTCTGGTTGCTACATCGCTTGCCTGCCTCCGATTCCTCCGATGTTGGGGAACGGCGCGAGTCCTCCGCCATTGGCATTCACTGGGTACTGGAGTTACTAGAGTCTTGGCATTACCCGCAGCGCCTGGGAGTGCGTGCTGACGACATCGTCAACATCCAAGGTGGCCGACACCTCCCCGGGCTTTGCCTCGTCTCCTTGGCTCGGGCGGGGCCCTGGGCTTGCATCCCCGACCTGCTCTGTGCTGTGCACATTTCCTATTCCCAGAAGAGTCTTTCGTCTTTCAGTGGATAACCTGATAGCATACCTGCGTTCGCACTCATGCATGGTTCAGCAAGCGCTGGGAGCCCTCTGATGCTCAAACTGGTGCCGTCTGCGACGACCTGGTTGGTAGAGTTGTGAGGCATTGTGAGGGCATGCCGCACTTGTTGCTTCTCTGGTTCAGCGACGAGACTTGGTTGCGCTCAGCGGGCGCCGGTAGAAACCCGAACAGCCCGAACACACTTCATTGACGCCTTGAAACAACCCAAGTTGGTCCAAGTCCTACGATATTCCTGGAGTCCTTCTTTCTGATGCTCAATTTGGAGCCCCAAACTAGGTGCACTACGTTAGAACCACGAACACAAAAGCTCCAACCCTACTGGAGATTTCTTCCCAGGCACCTTCCCAACAGCCCGGGTCTTCTTCACAGCTCCAGGTAGCTCCCATGGGGTTGGTGAAACCGCCGCTTGTTAGAACTGTCTTGCTTAATCTGGAACCGAGTAGTCAGGGTCTGCTTTCCAACCCTCATAGTCCTAGCCATGCAAGCAGGGCCAGGCGCCAGACGTATACGGCTTTAAGGGCCTCAGGCTGATGCCAGATTTTCAGTCGAACTCGGAGCCCCTGCGCCTGTGTCGAAGAAGCTGCCAGATGCACAGAGCGTCAGCAAGAACCCAACCCGAACCAGGGCCTTCTGCGACCAACCCCCGGCAGAGCTGACACTAATCTCAGATTCCGATACTCTGCACGGCGGGCATTCCCGGAAGCCCTGAGAAAGTGACCTCTCGAGGTGCCCGTGCAGCATCGCACCACCACAAAACGTGGCTCGTGTGCAATCACTGCGGAAGCACAAAGGATGGAGCGACTTCCCACTTAGAAACGTGCAAAACAAAGTTGGTACTGCAGTTGCTGGAGCCAGCTGTGAGCCGCAAGCTTGCTTCGGATCCAGGTGTTCAGGCGATGCATGCGAGTTACCTGAACTACTGGGCCTGTCACCTCAAATCAGATGGTCTTCATGGCATCGCCGATGCTTTCCTCGTAAGCTGCCATGCTCTGGACCGTGTGCCCAGGAGACGAAGCAGGCATGCCAAAGTTTTGCCACCGCCGCAGACTGTCACTGTCGTTAAGTAAATCATTGAACCGAATTCCATCGCGGTTTCGGATTCAGAGGCTTGAGCTCAAGTCCTTTCCACTTCATAGACCATAGCTCACTCCCAGACCTCGACCTCTTGCCGTAAGAACCTTGCGTTCTGTCGTGTGTCGAGAAAGAGACACCTAAACATCTGTCTCCGAGGTGCCGAAGCCTCTGGGGCATCTATGTGTCTGATGAGGGCACATCATGAGATTTCCCGGGTTTTGAGGGGCCGAGCAGACCGAGCTACCCTTGTTTAAGCGTCAGATTTTGAACAAGCTGGAGGTTGCCTACCCCTTTGGCCCATGAAGGAAATCCAGAGTTCCCAAAAGCTGCTGCCCACAAATGCTCGCATCAGCTCTGCAGGTGTAGCGCAGTCTATGCATCGCAACATCACTCGATACCCTACTGACGGGCCACCAGTTGGATGCCGCCACAAGCATTTGCGAGCACACCGTCTCAGAGGCTTCTCGCACTGCTCGGCCGACGGTCGTACTCCTGAGCACAAGATGCTCTGTAACACCTGAATGTTCAATGCCACAGCTACTTGGCACAGCCCACAACAGCTGCAAGAAAATCTCTTGCAAGCGTAAACGAAAATGACCCTAGTCAGGCCATGGAGTCTTCACCAAGAGTCATTCCTTGTCCTTCCAAGCGGCGTCGTCGTCCTCAAAGCCACGGTTGAAGCCGCGCGCACCCGCACCACGGAAAGGGTTCGTGCGGAAGCCCCGCTCCGCCTATCCAGCTTGGACGACGCTTGGACGAATTGCTTTTCGGAGCTCTGGGATGTCGAGAATTACATGGTCATATCGCTCAGAATGCAGACGCTGGAGCTTCCGAGTGTACAGCTTAAAGAAAAAGTGACGTGCAAGCTTTGCAGGCTCGGGTCTACAACTGTGCCTAATGCTCCAAGGTGCCTCAGGCCGCTGGCCTTTGAAAACCCAGCAATTCCCCAACCCGAAGACCTCTAAGTGGAAAAGACACGGCGAGCACAGCGCGGCCTCTCGGAGATCCTCCTCGGTCTCCTCTTCAAACCTCCCGAGCCACGCTCTGACAGAGTTCGCTTCCGGGCGTCGAATGACACGAAGCCCCAAGCAATCCCTCTGCAGCTGCCTTCTTGCTAAACACCCTGAACCCACGAACTTGCATAATCCCAAGGAAATCGTTCAGCCAAGTCACGCTGGCATTGCAGACTCCTGCGGCGTCCGCTTTGCCAGTACGTTTGGCTCGAAGGGCCACGAATCACACCTGAGGCTTTTGCATTTGCCACGACAGCGACAACTCGGAACTGCTGCAGCTTGCTCCTTACCGCTGCCGCTGACGGCGCCAGAACATAAATAAAGAGATCAAAGGGAACGCTCTCCCGTCGTGGGCACACGTATGGGTTGGCGACAGCTGTGCCCACATCAAACAGCTCCTGGGTGTTGTCGTCCTTGCAAGGGTTGAGGATTGCATTCGATCTAGAAAACTTGGCGGGCTCTGCCTGCTAGGTTGCATGATGCATTACAGTAGGAGTCCGCTAAAACTGTATGTTTATCATCAGGAGATGAATCGTCCCGTTTTCCCGCAAGGGGATTCAAATCAAGGACCTGAAATGATTCCAGTCCCTCCGAGATTTCGAGGATTGCCGTGACAAACCCCAGAATCTCTCAGCCTCGCCTGTCGACTCAGCTTGGAAAAACTCCTAAGCCGCAAGTCCTCCAAGGTAGGTGGCTGGGACACCAAGGCCAACTCGCCCGCCTTGTGTCGAGCAATGGCGTCTTTCCCACCACATGCCTCGCTGGGCAATGGTGTCACGGGCCCAGATCGCAGATGCATGGGACGAGTTGTCAAGCCCAAAGCGGTCAAAAAAACCAGCGACTAAACTCAGACCGCACCCCCCGCAATACAACTGCCCGTGTCCTTTCGGGAGATGTAAGTTGCTCTTGCTGCAATTCATGGTTATGCCACGCGCAGTTTACATCCTGATCCCGCCGTTGACTTGCAGGCCGCGGAGCCGAAATCCTTTCGGACTGGAGGTAGAAAGCCCGCTGCTGGTGCGCCAAGGACTTATAATACTTCCTGAGCTGCACGAAGCTGCACATTGAAGTTCATCCCAAGCCTGGGCCTGGTCCTCCACGGCTCGGCACAAAGTGGGAAGCGTCGAGGCTTTCGGTGTGCAGCTGCGGTTTAGTCAGGGTTTCGGGGTCCAAAGCCAACTCACCCGAGGTGCGCCTGCTGCTTTTGGAATGCGGTGTCCTGTCTGTCATGTCAAACACGAATCTAGCTGCAGCATGCAACAGAAAGGCGGCATGCAGCACAGATTTCTCAGAGTTCATGTGGTGTTTCAGAACCAAGATCACTAAAAGCCATCACGTCCTTGCTCATCCGCTCCACTCGCTCGCGCCTTGCGTTTGAAACGAAAGAATTACCGGGACTACTCTTCCCTCCCTCCCCTCCGTCTCTGTCTCACTCTGTCACCCCATCTCGCGGTTAAGCTTATCTTTCTGCAGCCCCTATGACACGATGAAACAGCATCCCTTATGTTCCGTGGGCCCGTGCCTCTTCTCAAGGTGAAACTGGCAAATTTTCAAAAGCAGGCTCAGGTCACCGGACAGCATAGAGCTCTTCCTGGTCACAAGGAAGGCGGCGTAGCTCAATCAACCAGAGAAGGCTCGACCATCATTAAAGCCGAGTCTCGACTTGGCCTCCTCCGCTTGACGTGCCCTCTCTTCTCGGGTGGCTTCGCACGCCTTCAACCTCAACTGAAGTAAACTAGGGGCCTTGCCTGCAATAAGTGGATTGAGGGTCCCAGGCCAAGGACTGAAGGCATTTCCAACCTTTGCAGGCCGAGCTGCTGTTCAGTTAAGTGGCCAATCCTCATCGAGCAACAGGGATGGTGAATCACATGATGTCCAGCCATTCAACAGCAACGGCTTATTCACGGCATGCGGCTGCTTGACCCGTGAGGCCAGCGACTGTTCCAGACTGGACAGTGAAGAGCGCAAGGTAGTGCCCTCCATAACAAGGCCTGCAAGCGGACATCCGGAGTCCGAGCCCTTGCCCCAAGGCTTCACACGCATAAACCCGAAATCGCCACCATCATCGGTAGAACATCGCAACCATGGCTAGATGAGCAGTTGCTCGCCAAACTCTTTAAATAGAAATTGGGTTATATGCTCACGTGTCGGCACAAAGATGGCCGACAAAACAAAACGATATAGAATCGGTGAAAAAATGGAAACAATTCGCTTACCCAGCAAATCGTTGACCCCCACCTGTTTGACCTCAGCCCCCCACGCTTCAACTTTCGAGTACCACAGGATACCAACAGCCAAGCCTAGCCTCTCGCTCCAACCCTAAGGCACCGAATTCCCGAACCTCGATCCCCACCCCTACTGCTTTTCTCGACTCCGCAAGACAACAAACCGTACCTGCTCACTCGGTGTCCGCAGTAAGCCGACAGCGACAAGAACTGCTACTATGACGATCAGGGCCACCACGAACACAACGACAGGAAGATACAACAAACGACAACTCCCTCACAAGAGAGAAAATACGTAGGCTCCCCCACCACGCCTTCATCCTTCTCTGGTGGGTCTGCCTTTGTCACCTGCTGCTCTGAAGGGCCGTACCTCAGTTTCGGAACCGCGGGCGCAACCATGTGTGCTATTGTTCCCCCTCGTACCAAAGCTCCTTTTCTAGTTTATAATGTGTATGTGGGCCATGTTTGCAAGCGTAATACACATGAGCAGGATAGTTGGGGTCGACACCCTTGGGGCAAGCAAACCCCGACATCTGAATACTCAACGCCAACAAAGAAGGAAACCTTCCCAGTTGATTCATGGCTGCTGCTTCGTCTGCTCCAGTGCGCACCTGCGAAGTGAGCATAGCAGCATAGTTGACATGATAACAGTTTCAATGGCAGCAAGTCCGTGCTGCGCAACAGCGGGGTACTATCCGCCATTATCAGGAAACAAAGTTTAGCCATGGCACCGGTTGGCACGGCGCAAAGCTTTGGCAACCGTCTCACACAGTGGTTTCGTGTCTGGCGAAGCTGTTGCAGATACTTTCGCAACGTTTGCCACCTGTCGATGGCTATCGCAACCGTTGGGTGTAATACCACAGGGCTGCAATGTACTGCAGAGCGCATCGACTTCTTCCCGTAGGCGCGACAAACGCCGCTGCATACTGCTCTGCATGACTTCGTCGAACTCGGTCTTCAACCGACTTTGGAGGCTGGAGCCATGCCCACTGTCGTCCATCGTTGAGCGCTGAACTGTGCCGTTCACATTCGAAGCTGAAGCCCTGCCCAACATACAGCACACGCCGCACAATTTCGAGCGGCTGCTATGGCATCCGCGCGAAAGAGATGGGCGAAAACCAAGCCCCCCACCTAATTCTGTTGATGCAATGTGGTTGAGAGCTGCACTCATGTTCAAACCCGGCGCGGTCACGGGCAGCGACTAGTGGGTGGGAGGAGTCTTGTTTCACGTGCAGGTGGTTCTTGGTCGATTACGCCACATACGTGTAACCGCATGTAATCGCGCCTGCACCTATGCCAGAACCTACGCTTGCACTGCGCTTGATCCAGTGGCTACAAGACACATAGGGACAGGCCTTGCATGTCGCAGCTGCCTTCCAATCGCATTAATCTAAATGTTTGTCCAATAAGAAGAAAAACTTGTGGAAACCGCCCATATGCCTCATAAGCACACGACCAAAAAAATAGCAGAAATGCATACATTTTGTGATCCAAATCTGTCCAACCTCCCCGAATTGCTACACTTGCAACTTGCAAGCTGTATTCTTGGTTTTTTTTCACTCCTGCACCGTGCCTCGGGGCCATTGCCTGCTGCGATATATTTTCCTCCCTGAACATGCTGCGGATAATGGTTTTCGTTGCGTAACCTGACAAGCGAGAACTGGATGCTGAGCGGCTCACTGCCTTGACTCCACGGTTCTGCGGGCTCCTACTCATGTCACGACGGTGAAGGCCAGTACGACGAGGTCACACTTTGCCGAAGCGGCGGACCGAACGACCCACTCATGCCGGCAGTCACATGCCCCAAGCATGGACAACACTTTGATTTCCAGTGCCGCACGCGCATGTGCTTTGCACAGGGCGGCCGACCTCAGTCTGCGAAAGATTTTTTGTTGCGCGGGCTTTTCGGCACCAAGGCTTGCAATAACCACCATGGGACATCGCCGACGACGATGCCGCGCACGTGATGTGCCCCCGTGAGTTGCTCTGGTGGAGGGGTTGCAACTTTCTTCGTGGTCAAGTGCTCGGTAATGGTCCGGGAATGCACTGGGCGACCAAGCAGCCGCCCCTCGTGAGTTCAGGGTACGTGCAGTGCTTGCGTCGCTCCGCGACCTTCAGCACGGACGCTCCGACGGCCTCCGCACCACACAGGCCCAAGCACGCTGGACGACTTTGGCGCGTGTGGCCAACAGGCCTGTCCTCGGGCAAAAGAGGGCAGGGTCGCCGTTAGGTTCCATGGCGCCATCAATATCGTGGGTTGGGGCCGCAGCGGCTGGAGCAAAGAGGCAGCACCAGGTCAAGGCAATTTGCATTGCTCGTGGCGGGATGAAACTCGCCTCGTCGGACGGTGTTTCCGTGAGCCATGCTCCGGCATGCTGTTTTGCTTGGGCGGAGAAGTGCGTGCGAACTGGGCAGCAAGGAGTTCTAGAGCACACGATCGCGAGAGTGTACGGTAAGGGTGCGCGATGCGTGGTACTGCCAATCATGCGGCCAGTCTCTGGCCACTGGCGCGACTGGTGTGGGGCAATCACTCCAGCCTGGGTCCTGGAAGGTGCGACGTGCATGCTCCGCTTTCGCAAAGCAGTGCGTGCCATCTTCGGCCTCAGACTCGAGGAGTTTCACGTAGCTGGTCGCACACCGCGGCAGGCGTGCGGCCATGGTGAGGCGCACAAAAGCAAAGGCAGCCGTGCACACTGAAGGTCGGGAAGCTTGGGCAGTTGGTCGACTGCCCGAGCATCTACGGTCTTGCCAACGTCGGAGGATGTTGGCGTTCCCGCCTCGCAGTTCCGTGTCCTGCTCCTGCTGCGCCTGCGCCTACCCCTTCCTGTCGGCCCAGGCAGTTGCAGCTGCTCCCATCCGGCGTGCTCGCCTCCCGAGCCCTCGAACGCGCCATCGCTCGTGTCTACTAGGAGGCCGGGGCGCGTATCCGGAAAGTTGCGGTCTCCGCCATGCACATCGACGATCCGGTCCACAATGCACGGCGCAGTGCAGTCCTTTGCAACGGCCCACCGCTTTAGCACGAGGCGCAGCTTGCCGTCGATGCAACCCACGTCAGCCTTGTCACACGCGAAGGACGTCTGCAGGATGGCGCGGATGCCCGCTCGGGCTGGGCCCTCCTCGATGCTGCAAGACGCAAACGGGGAGTTGCCTCATCTTCGTCGCGGCGCAGCGCGCTCGCTGCCACCTTCCTCGTGCTGCTGGCGCACGATCTCCTGGCGGACGCTCGCTGGCAGATGCTGGCAGGAGGCTCCTCCACCCAGCCGCCTCCCTGCCCTTGCTTAGAGCGTCACCCGCCGCCGTAGGCTGGAGCCCCTTTGACTGCGGCAAAAGGCCGCTGCCGGGACGTTACCCAGGGCGAATTTTGTGAGCAAGGGGGCTCCTTCGAACAGCACGATGCCCTTCAACAGGTGGCGGAGACACCCCATCCCGACGACAGCCTCGTGGCTTTCATGGACGACCGACCCCTACGTGTTCACGATGCCGTCCCGGGCCAAAGCCGCCCTCGACGCCACGGTGCGCTCTGCAGAAGACCGGTGTGGCATCGCGTCCGATCTGGGCAACATCGCCGGCCGAAAGCAGGCCCAGCTCCGTGACGAGGCGACAAGCCCGATTCCCAACGAGGCATAGTTGTGCTTGGCACCCGGCCTTCGTCCAGGCATGGGCCGATGAAAGGTTGCGCACCGAGCAAGAGGTCCATCGCGGTCCAGCTTGCGAGAGCAGCAAGGCATAGGACGCGGGACGCAGGGGACAAGTCACCAACGTGCGTCTCGAGCGCGCGCTCGTCGCAAGCATGGGAGGCTCTGCGCTCGCCGCCTGGATGGCTGCAAGGAGTGAGGGCGCACGCGCGCTCGGCTCCATCTTCGCGCAGAGCGGTGAGCAAGCGTCCCGCAGCCGAGCGCATGCGTGCGTGGATGGCCGGCTGGGAGTCCATCCAGGAAGCCTAATAACATGGCGGTCCGCTACAGTATCGGCTGCGCACAGGCCAAGGCCACCAAAGCGCAGGGCGAGCCGTGCCGCTCGTGCCGGTTGGAGGGGCAGCGGTGCATCCGCACGGCCAAAAGGTGCTGCGAGGCATCGGCCGATGGCAGTGTCATGCGAGGCGGCGCTGTCATGGCTGGGGGCAAGGAACGCAACAGGTAGTTGGCACGCGGCAAAGTACAGTAATGCGGCAACAACCATGCCGCGTGGAGGTCCTGGACAAGCCGGATGCGTTGCAGGAGGCAGTGCTGCCCTTGCACCCCTTACAGCGCAGGGTGCTGTGCGAGCGAATAAAGTGCGGGCATCAAGGGATCCCTTGCTCGCCGCCTGCCGCTGTTGCAACGTGGTGGGACATACCCTGCCCATCAGTCCAGGTGTTAGCAAGCGCTGGCGGTACCGTAAAACTGCCGGGCGAAAGGCAGCAGCGGACGGAGCTCCGGGCGAGCGTGGAAGGCCGCCAGCATCGCCTGGCGGGAGACGTCTTGCGTAAAGGTGCGTCCCACAAATCGCCTCAACACGTCACCAATGACAAGGGCGCGGGTGCCACGTGGGTCTAGCTTTTGCAGCGCGACGATGCGGCCGACGGATGGCAGCAGGCCGCGACATCGGCCTGCGCGAGGCGCTGCGCGGCGCAATGCAATAGTTGGCTGTCGCCCTCGTCATCTACAAAGATGCGGAGGTGCTCGTTGGTAGCTCCTGACGGGCCAGCGGCAGCTCCACGCCGAGCTTTCCATGGGGCCGTGCGGCTCGGGTGGGCGCCGCAAGGGGTCCGGGAGCTCAGTGGGAGTAACTTCGGTTGAAGGCGCGAGCGGCTCTGCAGTCAAAACACGGCTTGCGGCCCAAGGTGGACGAGGGCTGCAGCTCTGCTTGCTCAGCCTGAACATTATTACTGTGGGCTGCGGGGTGGGCATCGCCCTCGACACGTGGAGCTGTGGCAGCGCAGGCAAAGTGGAGGAGGAAGGTCAACCACCCCCCACGTGCAAAAGCCTCGAAGCGCAGCTCCACCGCGGCATGGTGGAGGAGCATACCTTCAGCAAGGGGGAAAGGTTCCAGCCTCGGAACAGTTGCTGCGGCGACGCTCGCTCCGAAATAAGTTCCAGCCCCGTCCGTGAGGCCGTGCGGGAGCCCCACGCAAGCGAGCGAGAACCATTGAAGAGTGAGAGTGCGACAGCGGAAGGTCTCTTGGATGGGCACTCTCCGGGTCATTCGCCTTCGTGCCCCCAGCGTCGTTGAACGCCTCATGCAGTGCCTCCGGGCCCCAGCTGCTGGCCGCATCTCGGTGCTGCTGCCACGCAAGCAGCGGCTTGTTGGTCACAGCTCAAGCAATGCACAGCTACACACAGCTTTGACGGAGCAAGTGTTTTCACCCGGTCACTTGAGCCAAGGCATTGCCAAGGCAAGTCTGCCACAGTCATGTTTGATGCAATCACTCTTGAGTGAACCCCTGCGACATGCGAGGCACGTGAAGTGAGCAAGTAATTAAACTGCCTGCCAAAGTCTGCTAGCAGTATAGACTGTACAATAGTGCTGAGACAAGCAGCTGGTGTCTACGTTGGTTACTGCTCAGAACTGGTTTCACAGAGCGAGTCAGCAGCCTAGAAAACTTACAAGGTTCGTACGTCTGCTGGAAATCAGGAACGCAGCCGTGAAAATCAAGAAATCAGCAGTGAGATCATGCGGAAAATCAAGCAATACATGCGCATGATCATGAAAATCCAATCAACGGCCAATCACTCGTTCAAAGTCATGCTCAACCATGCTGAGACAAGCAAAGCATGCAAATCTCAATCATGAGGATGAACTCCCAATAGCCGTGAGAAATGCTGGAATTTGTTCTTCTCCAATGCTTTCGTCATGACATCAGCGAGGTTATCGTCGGTGCTGGTTTTGTTGATGTGGTTGTCGGGATCAATGCTCACATCATGCAGCAATGACAAAGGCACACCCTGTGTTCGCTTCATGTACTTGAGGACGCCATATGCGTCATCGATTGCTGCAATTCCTGTTGCTGAGTCGGTCATGATGTCTAATGGAACTCGATATCCCAACAAAAACTCGGAAAGATCTTGCGCATAAATCCCGTGGCACTTGAGACCTTCAGCCATGGCCGTCACTTCGGCATCTGGTGCCGACAATGCGGTTGCACCTTTTTTTTTCCCACGCACCTTTTTCCCGCAGGGCTGGTCTCGGCGGGTACCTCTACCTACACCACTGACTTGCACCTTGTCGATGCGATCGCCAAGCAAACGTCGCTCGAGTGCCGTGCGACCCAACAAGTTGCAAAACAGCTCCTGACGTCGATCGCCTCGTATCGGGATCTGTCGCCCAATCAGAATCGACCCACAGTACTAGCTTCAGAGTGTGCTGCTGCACATCAACAGGATTGAGAACCATTCGAATTGCGGAGGTTCGAGTCGCCGCTAAATACCCCATCAAACGGTGCAAAGCCGCATCTTGTTTTTTCGTCCATTTTGTGGTGTACCGACCCAACCACCCGACAGCAAACGAGATCTCCGGACGACTGTTCCTAGCTATCCACAGTCCGGCCCCCAAGTACGAGCCGCAATTTGTTGCAAACTGACCTGTTTCGCTCATACTTGTAACGTCATTGGCTGCCAACTTCACAGCCGGAGGGTCGTACCGTGGAAGTGTGTATGCACCTATCTCATCCATGAACTTCCTCGTGAGTGTGTCGATGTACGCATCCTGCCTCACGGTGAATGTGGCGACGTCAGCATGGTCACGTGACAAGTTCTCCTCGGAACCTACAAATAGGCTGACAGGTAGAGGCGGGTCCGCGAAATCGAAACATTCGAAAATCTCAGCCCAAGCATGTGGTAGCACTGGTTTGTGTCCGGCCAGCTTGAAATCATCGACGAAACGGCCCATGCCCACAATGTGCCCGTTATATTCTTTCTTGAAAATCGGGCGCTCAATGTCACGAGCCTGCAGCCAATGCTTAAGTAACAAGCGGCCGCCAGCATGATCTTCCCAATCGCTGTTTGAACGTGTGAGCCCATAAATGGCCATGTACAACAAGTGCACGGGACAGCGCATCTCCATCGCATAGCACTCCGAGACAGTGCTCGGGATATTTACGGTCGGCTTGTGGAGGAATTTTTTTTTATTCAAGAAGACCAGTTGCACGGTCGACCCATCACGTTTGAAGGGTCGCGGGCGCTAGATTGCTATGCTGGTTTGCAGCCTGACGGCGATTGTCAAACTGCTGATGCTGATGGTGCCTATGTGCAAGCTCGATTCAACGGTCGTCCGAAGGTCATTTGCTTGCCAAAAGAATTTCGCACACAATCGAGCTTTGAATCTGTGTTGGGATTGATCGAGTTCATAGTGCTTGATCCCCAAGATGAGGTTTGCTTGCACGTATTCCACATCAGGGCCGTACTTAGCCACAGCGGTTTCCCACTCACATGCTTCAGACTCCCAAGTGCGCTTCGAAGCGTGGTTTGAAGCCTCCTTGCGGATAGCTTCTCGCGCAGCGTTTGTGTCCCACTCGGGATCTCTTCGTTTGACGATGCAAATGGCAAGCGCGGGGCCAGCTGCTCGATCATCGTGGCGAGACGATTTCTCCAACTTTGATGCTTGCTGCCGGTTGTGAAAGGCACACATTTGTACATTATACACTTTCCCTAGTGCAGAAAATGCATGACAAACAGGGCTAACCAGCGAAGCGTCGACTGCAAGCTGGACACCATGCCAGAGCGGGAGGCCGCTGCATACGACCTCGATGCGCTGGCCGTCATCGTCACGGCACATCGAGGTTCGTGGCCGACAAAGCAACGTAACGCGGGCTCCGGCTTCTCGGCAAACCTGACCGATGGCCCGCGCTCGGGAGGCGAGGCGCCAGACGTGGCACAAGCGGCGCGGTGGTCGTACGCATCGAGCGGGCCTTGGCAGGACCAGGCACGCGGGCCAAGCGGCAAGGGGAGGGATCGGAAAGTGGGACGAGGGGATGAATACCGGGCTTGTGCATGCAGCGGCGGCCGAGAGGCCGGTGTGAGGGGAGAATCTCGAGCGCGCTCTCATCACAGGCATGGGCAACAGTCCGCTGCCACCCGTGCAGGCAGTCAGAGGGCTTGTCGCCATGGGGGCGGAGGTCGGCTTGGCCCGGACCCATTTCTTCCCAATTCGCGACCTGCGCGCCTTCGTTGCGCAGGTAAGCCGTGTGGGCAGTTTAATTACTTGCTCACTTAACGTGCCTAGCATGTCGCAGGGGTTCACTCAACAGTGATGGCATCAGACATGACTGTTGCAGACTTGCCTTGGCAATGCCTTGGCTCAAGCGACCGGCTGAAAACACTTGCTCCGTCAAAGCTGTGTGTAGCTGTGCATTGCTTGAGCTGTGACCAACACAGGGTTATCAGCGCCGTAGCTCGAGGTGCCATGGCAATAGACGATGCGACGTCAGGGCGCATCTACATTGGGGATCTGCCAGAAACTGGTGCTGATTATGAGGGCTGGCGCTTCACGTTGAAGAGTCAAATCTTGCGTGTGGCACCGGACCCAGTTGCTGCCATGGTTTGCATCAGACAGCTTGATGATGTCTGTTTCTTTTGGTGACTTGGCGTCAAACTTGTCCGTGGACATGAACAAAACAGATGTGAATGTTTTCGCGGCAGTGGTTGCCGTATGTCAGAAGGGCAAGAAAGGACCAGAGATTCCCCAGCTTATCCAATCACGTGCACAGTTTGGTTGTGGTCGTCAGGCTGTCCGCATCGTTGACCAACGGCGTTTGCACTAGTCAACACATCTAGCCACGGAGGCTAACACAAAGATCCAAGAGCTCAGTTGTTCTGGATTGTCGGAGCTTGACAGCTACATGGCATGTTTTTCGTTGTGTCGCCACCAAACGGGTTCCGGCGAGCATAAGCTCACCAATGCTGGGGGCATTGCGCTTTTGAAGCGCAAGCTCAAGGATATCAAAGAATTGGATGCCACTTTTGCCGTTTTCAATGCCAGCAATTCTGTGGATCTGGACGTTTTGATCTATACCATCAACGGTTTGATTGCACATCACTCTGGGGAGATAGAAAGGCGAAAAGTACAGAAGAAGGCTGCAGCAGCCAAGGTCGCCGCTGCCACAGCAGCGGGCGGCAAATCCCAGTAAGGCAAGGGCAAGAGCAAGAACAAGAAAGGCAATGACAAGCCGTGTGAACATTGCCACAAGCCCGGACACACAGCACAAAAGTGCTGGTTGAATCCAAGAGGTTCGGTTTACAGACCGGACTTCGCGGCGAAGGTCAATGGCAACAGTGCCTCTTCGTCAAACGGTGGGCCATTTGCGCCGCCTGGATTGGCGGCATCCACGGGGGCTCGGCCTGGGCCTGCAGTTCCGACAGGTGTCCTCACCAAAGCGTTCTCGGAGTTTCTTGCGTCTGGAGTGCCCTACGCTTTCTGGACATTCTGTCTCATGGCCTTCCTCTTTGTGTATGCGCGCAGCCCTGGTGCAGGTGGTGCGCACTCACCCTACCAGCTTCGTTTCAATCGCTCCTACGATTTGAGCAAGCTGCGTCCATTCGGCTCTGCGTGCTACTACCTGTCGGAGGAACATGAGAAGTTTGCATCTCGCGGACGGCTTGGTGTGGTGTTGGGTTATAGCCGCTTGCATTCGTATTACGTCCTGGATTTCGAACACTATGTCGAAACGAAGGGCGAAGCCCGGATTGTGCACACGCGTGATGCGCGCTTCCCTCCTCAGGTGCGCTGGCCATATCACGAGCTGGGCATGGACAATCCGATGCGGCGTACTGGGCCAAGCGTTTGTTCGAACCGGAGGTGTTGCAACCAACACCCGTTGCTGGTGATGACGGCCGCTGTGTACTTTGCGGCTTGTGGGCCACTGATGCGGACGTCCATTGCCGCGGATGTTTACTTGGCGGTGGTCGTCGTCGGCATGTGGATGGTCCCGGCTCGGCTGCCTTCGTGCTCGTTGTGGTGGTCATTCGTTCCTCGACGTTCAGCACGGTTCGCCCATTCCGGACTCGCATGAACCGAGCATGGACTACTCCCCAAGCACTCCACGCAGCCGTGATGGGGGCGTCATCGACTCCTCCATGGCTTCGTCAGGTTCCAGGTTATTGATGATGACACGGGCCCACCCCCTGACGATGAAGGTGATGGTCGTTGCCATACGGATGCCTCGCTACACAGACCGCGGTGGCGGGTGGATCTATGGCCCTCAGTTCGACGACAGCATGGATAGTGGCTTAGTGCCGCCTCGGCCAGATTTAGCGCCACCAACTCCGATCCCACCGCGGGTCGCATCCATCGGATGCAGATTCGGAGGAAGCACGCTCCAGCTGTTATCCCGTCTCAAGTTCATCTCGATCCCAGGTTGGATCACATCCATCAGATGCGGATTCGGAGCGATCCAAGCCGCCTTCCAGTAGTCACAACCGGACCAGCACAGAATTACGGCCAGACGGCATACACAGTTCGGACGCTGATTCGGAGAGATCGCAGCAGCCAACCCATGATCGCGACAATGCGGCCATCTCCTCCACAGTGACTTTTGAAAGCGATCCGTCTGGGCTCCGCACAGTTGTTCGTGGTGGGATGGTTCTCACCACGCCTGCAGCACTCAGACTTGAACAGGAGCTGGACAAGCTAACGACTGAGCTGGGGAAGATGTTCGCGTGCGTCACAAAGCAACCAGAGCATATATATATATATACATATATATATATATACCTTCATATATATATATATAATACATATGAATATTTATATATACATATAGTTATCCATGTAAGCAAGCGCAGAATTGTGGCTGACATCTATATAGTAGCTATGAATATGTACACCATGTACTCTTTTAACCATCTCGTTTTACCCTCTGTTCCCTCACTGGAGGAACGTGTGGTTGAACCGTTTGCAAACCTTAGGCTTCATTGACATCGAGTCGCTATCTGATGATTTGCTTCTGAATCTGCTGTTCGCCCCGAGTGGTATGCAGAACACTCGCGCCTCCAATTGTGCGCATGTGTTTTTCGTAGCCGGCATTTGCCAAGTTCAAAGATCGATGCTCGAGGGCTTGGAACCCCGTAGTAGCACGTGACGACACATTTGAGCTGTTTTGTGTATATATTCTGGCCTTGCCTCTGAGCTGTGAGTTTCACGCTCTTAGTTCTGAATTACTGACCGCTGGATGGTTGTTTCAGGACTCGTGCTGCTCGTTTTAGCTGCGGCGGACCCCATCTCGTTCCCCAAGCAACGCGTGAAAAACCCATACGACCATGTCCGCCTGTACTGTGAACACAAGGAGACTAAATAACCTCGGTCGCTCATTTGTGGCCAATCTCCGGGGCTGGGGTGTTCTGGCGGGGCCGGGCCGGCTCCTTGGAGGATCGCTCGCCAACTTGGGCCGGCTTCCCAACCTTCTGTTTGTAGGACCTCGCGTGCTTCGGCAGCGGCGCGCAGGCCAGTCGTCGTCACCGCCGCGCACCAGTGCTCCCCGATAACGCTCGGCAAACCCAGGCAGTCGGGCGTGGATAACCGGCAAAGGATTGCCGTCTCAGGCCGCCAAGATGCGCTGGCAGAGTCGCCAGATCTCGCGCATGCAGGGCTTCGGGTTCGGCCGCGGCCCCGAGGCGTTGTTTGAGCGTCGTCCACACGGTTCGATCATGGGCCCGGGCGTAGGCAAGGATCTCCTGCGGCGGCACCGCAGGGCGTGGTTCGCACGGGGGGACGCACTCGCATGCCTGAGAGGCCGGGCGCGCCCCCTCGACATGCAGAGCGAAGAGAGGCGGCGATGGCTGGCGTGGTGAGGTGCGCGGGCTGGGAAGGTAAATTGCTGGATCGATCGCGGTCCGTGGGGGACGGCGTGCGGGGTCGATCAGTGCGGCCTACGTCGCCTCGCTTCCGGGGGCCACGTGCACGTGACAGTTCATTCTGTTGCTTTCGTTTGGTGCCACATTCGCTCGGCGACCTCGTTGGGGGGTAGCGTCGGGGTGTCGCGCAAGCTGCATGTGCTTGTCTTGCAAGCGTCGAAGCGATTGCACAACAAGTGCCCCCGTACCGCGGCTCGCATGAAGAGAGGTGCATCTTCAACGCTGGAGTTGGGTGGCGCAACTTTCACGAGGTCAATGTCGCCCGAAAAAAGCCCTCCACGCTTCCGCATCGGCCACGGCCGCTCGATCCGGGCACACTGGGACTGAGTGGCGGTCGTCACTGTCGTCACTCGCCGGGTTAACGTCAGCCGGCCCTGGCGCGAGGCTGGGACCGTCGCGTGCGCCAACGCACGTGCGAGTGCGCCGCACATCCTCTGCCAACGTTTGAGCCGCAGAAGCGACTGCTACGCCGCCGTATGTTTGCAGCAGAGCCATGTGCGGTGGAACGGGGACGTATCCTTGCACATCCATACAAATAGCGGGGGTAAAGGCGCAGCGACATAAGCAGTCAGGGCTTCGGCGGATGCAACGTCAACGGCGGCCGCTCCGTGGCCAGGGTCGCGGTCGATGCACGCAAGCTCGGCGTGAAGGAAGCGGAGAGTGGTAGCAGGCTGCGCAGCAGGCGCTCGCCGTAACGCACCTGCCAGCTCTGGGGATGGCGTTGCCAATCATGTGTGGCGACCTGTGTCATGAACCTAAAACCAGGCCCCACGGCAGGTTCACAAGGAACACCTCACCTTTGACTGTTTTGTTTTTCGCAGTTTTGGGATGTTTTGGGAACTCCCCCCCCCCCCGTCCTCTGAGTCAGAAACATTCAGCCAATTCGGGCTTTAATCAGCGTGGGGTGGCCCCTCAGCATCAATTTTGCTGGATCCTGCGTCGTGCAACGTGCTGAGCACCACTCAATGGAGCGACCGCTGCTGTGAGTTGTATAAGTTCTCGACCGCCGGTGGTGCGGGGTGTGATGGCGCGCCTGTCATACCTGGAGCTTTCTTCTATACCGCGCCTGCTACTGCGCCACGCATGTCACGTTCCAGCGGCCACCCCCCTTGGGAAGTGCAGGGTCCTTGCAAACCAAATTGGAGTTGCTGGCGCATGGTGCCCAGTGCCCCGCTACGCGCTCGCCGGGACTGCTAGCCTACGGATGGCGACGCCGCTCCATGACACGTCGTGAGTAGAACGCGGCAACATGCAGCTGCGCACAACGAAGAACACTGCTCTTCAAACCAAGTCCCGCGCCGCTGCGGCATCGCGGAGGCATTAGGCCTCACCACCGCAGCGTTCAACAGCTGTGAGGTCGCAGCTGACTACACTACTACCCCACCGCCGACGTTTGCACTCGCAGTTTGGGCCGGCAGTGTCGCGGCAGAACCTAGTGTGCTTGCCGCTGCGGCCTTCACATGGGACGGCTACAGCAGTAGTCGGTCTGGTGGCGACCATGGTTGGAGCATACTTTGCGCCCACGCGAAAACACACTTGGCGCATGAGAGAACGACAGTGGCGAAGTCTGGCATGTGACGCACCAGGTCCGGCGCAACATGATGCGAATGAGCAGAAGATGCCACCTCGACCCAACGAATTCGAAGACGTCGTTGACTTGGGTTTGCCCTTGAGGTCTGGGGTGAACAAGAGCCGGCACGGGCGAAGCCGGCACGGGCGAAGCCGGCACGGGCGAAGCCGGCACGGGCGCGGATTTGTTGGTTGGAACCTTGATGGTGTTCTTCCAGTAGCCATTTTCAGTCATCGTGACGTCTGTGTGGATCGCAGGTTGGGCATGCGTAACACAAACGCGTGTCAATTGTCGCGTGCTGCACGGCAGTGGGCCATTCCGTGATCCTGTGGTGGAATAAGCGCGGGGGACGGCATTGAGGACTCTGCCCAGTCGACGTCCCCAAGTGCCGATTCGCTGCTCGATCGCGGCAGCTTGCTTGGTGGCCGCCAATTCAATTCAGCGTTATTTACGACTTGCTTGCGTCTGCACGCGACGACTGCCCCATGCCAAGCTTCGAATGCGACGCCTGGTCCCCAAGACGGGGAGCATGACAACCACTATAAGAAGAAACACGGCCTTGTTCATGCCCGCTATCCGGCCATCCTGGTTCGCAGAGCGATAGCCGTGCTGCATCTGCTCAGCGAAGCACGTTCTTGCAGTTGGAGCGCCTCGCTGAGCGAGCGATTGCCTCCTGCAAAAATTGATCGTGCTCGGAGGGATCTGTCATCCACAGCGTCGGGCTGCCCGCAGCCGTAATGGAACCTGTTTCGGCCGATGAGACGCGGAGTCGCGGGACATGGGGATGCAAAGTGTGTTGGGTCAGGGCTGCACTGCCACAAGGTCACCGCGCTTGGTGGATCAATGGGGCGGCATAATGGAGCGCCAGAGGCCATAGACGCTTTGAGCACCCAGAACCTGATGTTAAGCAGCCAGAACCTGATGTGTACTTGGCCACATGGACTCAGAAAAAGATTGGGCAGACGCCACCCAGCGAGCTGCACGCGCCCACATGGCAAATGTCCAAGGCACAGCAACAGCTGGAGTAACAGTCTTGTCAACAGTCTGTTTCCCTCAGCGCGTCCGCGAAGAGCTGGCCCAAGACCCCAAAGAATTGGCATGGAGCAAAGCACACGTATCTTGCAACCGCCGCAACCACAGTTCTTGCCAACGCCTTTCTGACGACATCGGGGTATGGCGCTAATGCAACGAACCCGTTGCTGTGCCGCCTCACCAGACTTTGAGCCCCAATTTTTTCCGGGTGGCACAGCCACCTGCACGATAATCAACGCGAGTTCTGCATGCTGGTGCAGACACCGCATGACTAGATCCCTGGCCTCGCGAGCCAGCTCAGGCACAGCCCGCCCACGATTCTCCCCGCCAGTACATCCCAGCACTGAAGGGCCAGAGCCCTGGATCGACGCGGAATTTGCGCAGTATGAAGATCACTCGGGAAACTTCGAACTTTCCAAAGACCCGACGCTTACCTAACAGTCGGTCGACAGCCGCATGCAGTACAGCAGCAAACGTACCGGTTCCAGCTGGCTTGACGCGGAACTGGACAACAAGAAGATGTGCTTCTTTTGCAAGACGCACAGAGCAGGCCAGACAGACGATTGTTCCAGTTCAACATCACACAACGACAAGGGCGTGGTGAGAGTCGCTATTATCCGCTAATTGGATTTAATTGGATGCGGAAGATCACCGAGTCTGGCAACACTTGCAAGGACACAACATGCAAGTTTGGTAGCCTGCGCTGTGCTCACTTGTCGCTCAATCTGAATCGCAATTGCAGCGTGTCCCCAGAACGACTGACTCCGCTGCGATAATGCTGTGTAGTGATCGATTCCGTGCTACTCACTGTATGGTTTAAGGCTCAAGGTGCGCAAGCCAAAGAAGGTTATGTAACAGAAATGTCCAGAATCTTCTGGATTTTGCCGTGCCGATTACAGTTGGCCGGTTTCTGGAAAGCGAACTCTCACAGCGCTTCGTAACCGGTGGCAGAAGGTGGCCTGGTACCAGGCCTGCCCGATGAGTTGAAGAGAGGCGCAGGACATGGGCTGGTCGTCAGCACAGTTCTCAAAGGAGATGAAAATTAGGATGTAGTTCGGCCAGCCGACTGCTTGTAAACACGGATGCACACATCTCTCAGAAGAAGTCTCACGGCTGAACACTTCGCGCAGCTGTTTTTGACCGAATCGGCTGGAGTCAGGCCAGGTCGAAGTCAGATTGGAGCATGGACAAGAGCCCTAACCTCACAGACCCCTCGAAACCCTGAACCCTAAACTCCTAGCGCTTCAGATTTGACAGCGGGTCAAAGGCGCTGCTTAAGGGAAGCAGCAGCAGCCGCGGCCATGGCTTGTGGTGCCCCGGCCAGCACCACCTCGGGACAAACCATAAAACCAGGTGCTTTTGTTGCTGAAGGAAAGAAAGAACTGCCGGATCCAAATACAATGCACGATGGTCATCCTCCCCATCGTCCACTTCTGCTCCTACGACTTTCGTCACGCTCCTGCTGTACGCAAAGCCTCGACATCGAAGCAGTCGCACACTACCTGAATCAAACTTTGCACTTTCCCTGAAGGCTGCCACCTCCCTCCGCCACCTCGCGGAGCCCGGATCCTGCACAGCGCATGGCCTCTGCCAGAGCCGCGCCAACATCCCCTTCGCAGCGATTCATGACGGTTTGGGGCAATGAGGCCGTCCGCAAGGCTTGGGGAAGGGAGTTTGCAAAAAACTTGATGCTTAGATTCAGACTTGGCCCACTCGGGGTCATGAGGAGTGGGACTTCGAACGAGCCCTGGTTGAAGTGTGGAAGCACGGACTTCGGGACTCCTGCAGCAATCGCTTCATGTCTTACATTAGAGCCGCATTGTTTGGGTGCCTTCTGAACCCTTCCTAAAAGTTAAACTTTTGGCCTACTTATTATACTTCATACAGAATCCCAAAAAGTCAAAGTCATAAGAGACAACCAGAAGAACGTCAAAATGAGCCCACCCGAGAGCTTTAGAAACCTGGCTCGTTCTTGAAGACGCCACAGCCAACGCCGGGGACCACAACGGCGGTCGCCCCAGCAAGTGATGCCTGCAGAAGGAGTCTTAGGGGTTGTGGTGTTGTCCAGGCCTCAAGAAACAAAGCTGGGGAGGCTGTTTCCGGGGAGTGCGTGCCCCCCGAGTGGAGCAACTGACCAGAACAATTTCATGCCCACTACTTGGATCTTCTTATTGTTTCAGCTGCGACAGCTCTTGTTACACACTTGGCAGCAGCCTTGGCATCGGCGTACACTCAAGGACTCAAGGCTCATGAGACCCCAAACACGAAGAGCACCTAGCAGGACCTAGCAGTCCAAGCCCTACATTCATGCACACCTGACGCTCCCAAGACCGACATGTGTGTCTTGTCTGGATGGGCCCGAGCGCTGTGCTTACAAGGCATGCCAACCAAGTTCTGTGTGGGAGCATCACTGGTTTTGGCTGGAAAAGGTGGGACAGGATCCGGCTCGCTTTGTCGGGGGCACGATTGGCACCCTGAAGGGATTTTCGCCACCAGGCTTTCTTCAAGAAAGTTGAAATTTTTGCCATGGACTATGGAAAGACCGCGATTTACGTCGAAAATGTGCCCCTGCACCAGGCCTGGTGAAGCAAAACCAACAGATTCCCCTATTCCTAGTGAGACAACCCCCATGGTTTCACCACAAGGTGTACCACACTGCTTCACAAGGCAAGTCATTCGTCCCTGTCATCAAGCCGTTTCACCACGACAAGCATTTGCATAGTCACCATCCTCACAACCCCCACATTTTTGGATCATAAACACCAAAGCATGCCTACACCACACCAAAAGGCCAACTGACGACTGCATAAACTTGAAGCCTACAAGCCCCGGCAAACGCAACATTTCAAAAGGCAGCAGAACCCAAAAGAAGAGTGTTTTCTAAACGTGTCGGGCAACGCCGTAGAGGGCGACCTTGAGCTTGTCTGCAAGGAGGGCACGGTACCTTGCACTCTCTGGACAGGCAGAAGGAACGCAGGATTTAGAGACCTGGCCTGCAACTTTGGACATCACACTGTGAGGCTCCCAAAGCATGAGTTCTACCTTCAAGTTCACCTGTCGGCTCGGCCATGTGTTCAGTGGACAATACGTCATCTCGACAGATTCGCTACGAGATGACCCAATGATCTTAGCTCGTCGACTGCAGATGCTGCGCAGCCACGCATGTAGATCAGTCGGGGTGTCCAACGGCGAGTCCTCCCACGCTGGGGCTTCGAGTGGTTTTACTGTAAGCACAAGCCTGAAAGAAGCAAACCACCTATCCCCTCTGCTACTTTCGGCTACTGCCCTAGAAACTACAAGCCCGGTGGGGCTGCCATGCACTGCAACTGACAAGACCAAATGGATGCAGCAACATTGGACATGCTTTCAGCTCTCCCATCGGTACAAGGCGTTGGGGGCCTTGACCGACGGGTTCATGTTCGGCATCGCCACACTGACGACTGCCGCCAGCTCCTTTCCGCGGACAGAGGCAGCACGGACTCTGGATACGTAGGATTCGCACGAAACATAGCAGGAACACCCACAAAAACGCACTGAAATGCTCCGAGGGTCCACAGCGCTCTTCATGAAGGCATATCCTCAGCGCCCCGAGACGACAGCTCACTGGGAAGTGTATGCATCAATGCCGATTCCGGGCTCACGGCTCAGAGACTACGACCAGACGACCACTCATCTCTTCAGATGGAGGCTTGCGAGCATGATACCCTCAACTCTGCCGGCCGAGGCTCCCATGTCAGACCCATTTCGGAAGACCTGGAAAGGCTGTGAAAAGAAGCTGGAGATGCTTTCGTCTTTCGTGCTGCAAGGACCTCCACCGAGGGAGAGAGGATCGCCCCTCGCTCCGGGATGTAGCAAAACCATCCCTTCCTCAGAGAGTCGCAAAGGGGTGGTCTCGGCTCTTCTCAAAACTCACACGGGAGCTGAGCCCGGCTCCGGCCATCTGCTTTCAGTCGCTCCGGGAGAGGCACCTGACGACTTTCTTTCACGGCTTTGAGCACTAAAGCACCTCGCAGAGCCCACCTCCACTCCGCCATGCCTCCGGAAGCTGCGGGGGAGCTTTTGGGTCTTGACAACAGGCCTCCACGGAACCGCTTGCGCCTGGAGAGCCACACCGCTCGCTGCAGTGAAACGGAGAGGGTCGACTGCACACACATCGCCTCCTCGGGCCGGTCCGCTTCGGAGACAACTCATGGGCCTGCCGACACCCTGAACACCAAACTTGATGCTCAATCTTTGCTAGCACTTCGGCTCTCAACCCGAAACTCCGAAGCCAAGCCAGATCTGGTGTCCTCCAGCGCATGGCGTCCACCTGTGCGGAAGCCTCCACATGGATGGTAGGCCTTGTTGTGCATAGCTTGGAGTTGAGAGTCTATTCTGGTCCTCTGAACGCAGTCGGCGGCCTGATCGCCCACACTTGCCTCTTCAGCAGCGAACCCGATTAGGCTGTTGGAGTATGTTGCAGTAGATGCACAGGGTCGAAACATCTCTGAGGGTGGGCTTTAAGCTAGTTCTCTTTCCGTGGCTTCAGGTTTTCGATGTTGCCTTGTTCGGCACTAGTTAACATCGTGAAGACATGCAGCTTGACTATTACCCGAAACCAGAGAGCGGGCCGAGAAGCAGAAGCTGCCCCGATCACCGCCACCCGCTCGCCGCGGGTGCTACGTGCGAGCGCAGCGTCGAGGGCCTCCCAGCAAGAGATTACTAGGGACTGCTGCATGATGGAAGGTGGGAGCCTTAAGGAACATCCTGGGCAAATGAAGTCAAGGCCAACTTCACATAGAAAAAGTACGCCAAGGACTTTTCTACTGCTTAGCCGCATACAGCACATCCACAAGCATAAGATTCTCAACCTGCCCCAGTCGCTAAATATGGAGCACCTCAATCCGAAGGACGACATCCCGCGTCTGCCAATGATTGTTCGAACACAGTGCATGGTTGCTAAATGCAGCAGAAGCAAGAGGAGCACACGAAGTCTTGGCGCCACCGAGGCGCCGTGGCTTCCCTGGCCACTGCAAGACGCGGCGGTCGGGAGTTGGAGGCCAGCGCGCCCCCGGCCTCGAAGTTTGTCCAACTTCGGCTTCCAAAGTTGAACGGCCTGCCTAAATTTCCACTGAAATTGGCATGTTCACCTCCAAGACCTAGGCTCACAAGCGCAGGCCATCCGAAAGTGACACCACACACTCGGATCCGGTGCAGGTTTGAGGGCTAGAGAGTCATGTCGGCATGTTCTTCTCCCACAGCCTCCTCAATCGTGAGGATTCGAGTACCTGTCGCCACTGGAAGGATCAGCAAATGGGAACGAACACTGACCTGAAAAGCTGAAAGTGTCCTTGACAAACACAATTCCTACCAACGTTCCAGTTTGGGTGTCACAAAACAAAGCCCAAAGTCTGAGATGCCTGAGGCTTCGGAGCAATGGGTATGTCATGTGTACACTTGGTTGGACACTGCGGCATGTTGCCCTCTGTCCTGTCTAACTATCCAAGATAGAAAAGATGGGTGAGACAGAGACCGAGAGACACAGAGAGACGCAAATCTAACAAAAGATAGAAGACAGTTACAAAGACGCAAACATGCTGAGACATCGGCATGAATTGATTCGATCACCCAATATTCCTCTTCACCGATCATTCATTCATTCATTCATTCATTCATTCATTCATTCATTCATTCATTCCTTAGTTCACTCATTCACTCCCTCCTTCGTTCACTCAGACTCATTCATCCACCTTGTAAAGACATATGGGAGTTACAATGCGAAGGACCGCTGTCATGGCACACACTTACACCCAGCGTTTGTGCCGGCCTTCTGCGAAGCTACCATCACAAACACACGATCGGGCCTAGTCCTACAGTGGTACTTATAGGGCCACATACATACACACATACATACATACATGCATACAGACATACGTACATACATACGTACATACATACGTACATACATGCATACATACATACACGCATACAGACATGCATACATACATACATACATACATACATACAGACGTGTACGTACACATGTACATCTGCTGTCTCAAACTATACACGACATAAGCATGTATGAGCTCGGCTCGTACTGCTCCACTTCAGACCGCTTGCTTGGTCATCTGGGTACTTACAAATTCACACCCACGCAGTGTCAAAGCTCATTGCAAAATATGAGTAGGGTTTCGGACTGTGTCGTATCGTGAATAGCTTCCAACAGCTGCCATGCGGATATGCAGTAACCTACGGTTTGATGACAAGCCTTCTTGCCTTACATAGATTCGACAGAGCTGTAAATTTCTTCTGCTGTCTTCCATCTTTTGAAGAGGTAAAGGGGATCCTCGGGATCTTTTTCCCTTGCCTAGAAAGAGAGGAGGTCTCTTCTTGCCGACAGAGGAGTAAACGGAGCTCTCTTCCTTCCCGTGAAGTTGGAGGGGCCTG